GGTTTGGGCTCCGACTGCCCCATGAAGCCGCTGCCGCCCCAGCCGCCCGTCGGCCTAGCTGAGTTCCTGCAGCCGAGCGACGTGGAGGCGCTGCCAACGGCATCCGGCCTTCGCAACAACGCGGAGGCGCGCTTTCGCGCCAGGGGGCCCTCCTCCCTGTCCCCCCACTTCCCCTGCCCCTCCCCCATCCCCTAACCCGACTTCACTCGGGGGATGGGGCGTCGGGGGGGCAGGCGACGACGAGGCCAGGGAGGAGGGGAGGTGAACTCACAATTTTATTGAGGAAGTAATTCGGAGGGCGAGGCAGGTAGCGAGGAGGAGGGGAGCAGTAGGGGGGGGCAGAGCACGACAGCGGAGGGCCCCCCTCCTCCTGGCCGGGGAAGGCTTACAATGAGCTGTTCAAGCGGCTGCAGGTCAGGACGGGGCGCTCCCTGGGGGTGGCCGACTTGACTCGTTGCCCCGACAAGGTCTATGGCGCGATCCTCCAGCCAGAGGCCATGCCTTGCCTGACCGCTCGCAACGAATATCTGCGGGTGGTGGGCTCGTGCGACGGCAAGGTCAGCAGCAGGGGGCGGTGCCTTACATATAGTGAGAAAGCCGCGTGCATGGGGTTCAGAGCCGATTCTATCGTGGGCATCTTGCCTTCGAATGTGATCCAGAGCGCTCTGGGCAACACCATGGCGGTGCCGTCAGTGGGCAGGGCTCTATGTCCGCTGATGAGAATCATGCGAATGTGGGAATGCCACAGGCGGCGTGCGTCGCCAAAGGTGGAGGCGGTCCAGAGCACAGAGGTCAAGCGGAGGCGGCGGAGCGTGGTGCCCACCAAGAGTGACGAGAAGGTGCCCATCCAGAGTGCCGCGAAGGTGCCCACCAAGAGTGACGAGAAGGCGCCGCCCCAGAGTTACGAGAAGGTGCCGCCCCAGAGTGACGAGAAGGTGCCCGCCGAGAGTGACGAGAAGGTGCCCGCCGAGAGTGACGAGAAGGTGCCAGCCCAGAGTGACGAGAGGGTGCCCACCATGAGTGGCGACGAGAAGGTGCCCAGCGTGAGCGACGAGAAGGTGCCCGCCGTGAGCGACGACGAGAAGGCGCCCACCATGAGTGACGACGAGATGATGCCGACTGGGATGGCCTTCTACGAGCGCACGGGCCAGGCCAGGTGGAGCGCCAGCATCGCGGTCGGCGGCAGCGTCTGCTGCAGCAGCAGCAGCAGCAGCGGCAGCATGGCGCGGGTGCAGGTGGAGCACCGCCGCCAGAGTTCCCTGGCCGAGATCTGGCAGGTCAAGAGGGCTCGCAACGCGTGAGCTTGAGCCTGCCACGGCGCGAGGAGGAGAGAACGAGGGAGGAGTGAGGAGTGAGGAGAGAGAGGAGTGAGGAGTGGTAGGAATGAGGGGGTGAGGGCGTGAGGGAGTGAGTGAAAGGAGCCATGGGAGGCAGGTGGACAGCTGCCCGTGACCTCCTTGTTTCATTTTGCCGCGCCCCCCCTCGCTCGTTTCGTCGAGGCTCGAACCTCGATTCCTGGATCGAGGGCCCCAGGCCCTCGGATCGATGGACTTGGGACGATGATCCGAGGATCTTGGGCCCTAGACCTCAGAGTCTAAGGATCTTGAATCCGAGGGCCTTGGGCCCTCGATCCAAGGGCCGAAGATTGAGCACCGAGCCTTCGCGCCTCTTCCCTCCGCCTCCCTGCTCCCCCGTCATCTGCCTCCTCTTTCTCCTCCGCCTCCTCGCTCTTCGCCACGCCCCTAACTCTCGCCCGTTGTAGCGTCCTCTCTCGTTCTCTCCCCCCCTCCCCTTTCTCATTCTCGCTTTGCCTTCCCGTCCTGCCGCCCCCGCATTCCCCCCCTCTGTATATTTGTGTATCATTCCCCTTGCAATCCGCAGTCGTCCTCGCGCGCCCGGCAACGCCTGGCCGCCCGTCGACCGCGCGGCGGGCAGCCTTGGACAGCTCGACTCTCTCGAGCTGCGTCTCGGCCTTTTTGGCCGTCTCCCGCCTCGCGCAGGCGCGACGCCACCCGCGCGGGCGCGTCGCTTGGGCGCGGGGAGCGGCGCGGGCGCGGGAATGGGTGGGAGGAGCGAGGCAGGAGTAGGAGGGCACAGATGACACACAGGGAGAGACGAAGGGTTGGGAGGGCGGCAGAGGGGGAAGGCACTCTCCTCGCACCCGACCCTCCCAGCTCGGAGCTGGACCTGGACAGGGCCAGTCGGGCCAGACTCCGAGGCGGTGCCGAGAAGCTGCGAGGAAGCAAAAGGGTGAGGGCCCTACCTCTGTCGACCTACTCATGTTTCCTATATATCTCTCCTTCCCCTCCTTCCCCTCTTGCCATCTTTCCTCTTCTTCGTAGTCTTCTCATGTTTCTCTCTCTCCTCTTCCTCTTTGCCTTTCTAACCCTCGCCCCCCACCTTCCCCCCTGCTCGTTCCCCCCCCCCCCCCCCCCTCCTTCCTTGATTAGTCCTGCTCCTCGCCCCCTTGAGCGGCAGCGGGCCTCCATGGCCTCGCAAGCCTCGTCGGCGGGGCCCCGCCCGCGCTGCAGCCAGGGCTGCGGAGACCGCGCCAGGGGTGGCGGTGCATCCTTCATCCTTGTTCTTCCTTCATCACCCTTGTTCCTCCATCCCCTCCCCCCCCTCCTTCTCCTTCGGCCCCCCTTCGTCACCATCGTCTCCCCTTCCCTTTCGTCATGTCCCTTTCCCCCTTATCCATTTTCTCCTCCATCCCCCCTTTCTCCTTCTCCTCGTGGTCTTCTCCCCTCCTTCATCTTCCCTCTCGCTACTTATACTTCCCACATCCTCCTCCTTTTTTCCGCCACCGTGGCCATTTTGGCTCAAGCGGGGCAGTCGCGTGCAAGCGGTGACAAGCACTGCGGTCGAGGTACCGCGTTGTCAGAGCAAACGACCCTGTTTGCCAGAGCGCATTCGGCGACCGTTACGGTCGCGTCGCTGCCAGGAGGCGCAAGCGCGCACTCAGAGACGCGATGCTCCGCGATGCGTGCGTGGGGCCAGGCGCCCGCGTCAGTCGCGTGCGTCGCGCGTTGGGGGCGTTCGCGGCGTTGCGCCCGTGGATTTGACGGCGCATAAACCGCGTGCCCCAATTTGTTGTCGTTACCATGCGACAGTGTGGTTTGTTGCCCGCTCCAGGTCTTGTTTCGAGTGGGTTGGCGACTTGCGGTAGGCGTTATTCAGATGCGATATTTGGCCGCGATTGCGAGTGGGCGCGTGATCGCGGCGCGCCGCCTGCCCGTTTTCAGGAAAGTTGGTTCGAGGAGGTTTTGTGGCTGCCAAAACTCACGACATGTCAACTGGTCCTGCCCGCGCGGGCGCATTGCCCATACCCTATGATAATATCAATATCTCGTTGGCCATGGGAGAATCTGCTCGAGCGTGGTCGCGAGGCGTATGTTTTGAGCTAGGTCCACTCGTTTTGTTTGTGTTTGCTTTGTGTGTTGGCTTGTCTGTTTGCCTGCCTTGGTTTTTTCTGGAAAACTTCTCGGTTTGTCAAAATTCTGGAATCATGGATTCCTACCCAGCGCTCACCCGTCCTCCCTATCGCGCTCTTCACATGTGTGTGTGGGAGTTTGTGTGTGTGTGCGTGTGTGTGTGTGTGTGTGTGTGCGCTTGCGTGTGTGTGTATGTGTGTGCGCGTGGGAATGGGCGCGCGACTGTGCGCGCGTGCGCGCGTGATTGCGTCCGTGATTGCACGTGCGTGTGCGGGTGCGCGTGCGCGTGCGCGTGCGGTTGCGTGGGCGCGTGGGTGCGGGTGCGGGTGCGGGTGTGTTGTGTGTTGTGCGTTGTGTTGTGTGCGTCGTGTGTTGCGTGTTGTTTCTTGCCTGCTGTATGTCGTCTGTTGTCTTATGTTTGCTCTGTGGTGTGTGGTGTGTCTTGCGTGTTGTGTCTTATGCGCGTGTGTGTGATTGTGTGTTGTGTTTTGTGTCTTATGCGTTGCGTGGTGTGTGTGTGTGTGCTGTGTGTTGTGTGTCGTGTGTGTGTGCGTGTATGTGTGTGTGTGTGCGCGTGTGCGTGTGTGTGTGTGTGTGTGTGTGTGTGTGTGCGCGTGTGCCCCCGCCTCCGGCGCCCCCCCGCCGCCGCCTGGCCCCGCTCTGAGAGGGCCCAGCCTCATTTTCCCTTCTGCCCGCGCCGGGCGTCCTCCTCCTTCCCCCGCGCATGTCGGTCCAACTCGCGTTTTGTGCACCCCACTAACGCGCCACCGCCAGCGCAGTGACTCTGCCTAGCCGCCGACTCAAAAAGTGTGTGAGTGCGTGTGCGAGGGGAACTGTGGGAGGGGAAGGGGTGTGTGCGGAGGTGTGTGGTGTGCGTGTGGGTTTGTGTGCGCGTGTTTGCGCTTATGTGTGGGGGTGTGTGGGGGTGTGCGCGGGCGTGGGCGTGGGCATGCGCAAGGTGGCGGGCTTGCCCAGGCCACAGTTGTCCTTGTGTCAGTTTTAGTTCAAGAGCCTGGAAGGGATCTTACGGTCTCCTGCCGTAGCTGACGCGGGGGCATTATCCCTCGGATGCGCGAGATTCGGGGCCCACGCTTCCAAAGATTTGCGTTGTTCGTCGCTTGAATTCAATGGAGGCATATCGTGGAACACCCGACACCATCGATGAACTCGGGCGCTGGAACGTCAGCGTCCACGGACAGAAACCGCTGTTGTTGTAGTTTGCCCAGGGGTTTATTTTGAAGGCCCAAAACAATCCCACCAAACAGGGTTGGGGTTTGGAGGGACGCACTTGGACAGAGAAAACCTTCGCGCGCCCGCAGAGGGGATCAACAATTTGACGAACTGCATCGCGGAATCTCCTTTTCGGCCCCGCACCCAAGGACACGCGAAAACCGCATTGTCCTTTTTGAGCACGGTGCGGAATCAGTAGGGCAGGCTCCTGCACACATTGGTTCGTGATCGCATGCAAACCTCATTCATGTCTTGAAGGGGATGAGGATGACGGAGGTGGGGCAGAACCAGAAGGAACACGAGAGGGGCATGGGCCCCGTTTCGCGGCAGCCCCGTCAGGTGCCCGCGGATTGGCCATGGTCAACGGCGTCGTTGGAGGCACGCGCTGGGGAGATCTTCTAGTGCAGATCGTCCGTGGGGAGCAGTCGTAATAGCAATTGCCGTGGGATCGGGAGTGGTCGTTTCTTATAGTTGATCATACCTTTCTCGTTGTGCTGCTCTCCCCTTCGCTCTCTCCCTCTCTCTCTTTCTCTCGCCGTCCCTGCATATATGCATGCGCATATATGTACATGTATGTGTAGATGTGTATACCGGTATCCATCTATGTCGCTGGATGTGTATGGTTTTCGATAAGGCTCGTGTGTATAGTATGCGTATCGCCTTCAAAGGGAGCTCTGTTAGTCAATGGACGACAGTGACGATAGATGCCGTGGGATGTACACATATGTGTGTACAAAATGTGTGTATATATCTAGAATTAGACACAACTTAAACTATAGGTGTAAATGCATATATGCGTACATGCTTATATGAATGTCTTATATACACATACATGAAAAGATACACACATTTCGGAGTAGGTCGGGGGAGGGCCCGGAACCACGACCTCTGGCTTGCATGGCGGCGCCCCATGATTGTCTGGAATATGGCTGAAGAGCGCACTGAGATGGCCTCAAGACGGCGCACGAGCGCTCGAAGACAGCCCCAGACTAGTCCTAGACCGCCACAAAGGCCCTCAAGACGGTCCGAGAGGACACCGAGAAGGCCCCCCTAGGGAAACGTATAGCTCAGGCATGTTCGTTTTTTTAGTCCTAACCACGGCCACGACGGCCCCAAAGGCCTTCCAAATCGGCCCCAGACATCCCAAGAAGGCCCCAAGAGGGCCCCAAGACGGCCTGAAGTGGGCTTCAAGCAACATCAGAGAGCTCCAAGGCGGAGAGTCCCCAGGGGGCCCGCGGGGGCCACCGGAGGGTCCCTACGTGGTCGGAGAGGACCCCAAGAGGGCCCCAAGACGGGCTCAGCTCCCCATGACCCCATGACGGGCCAAGAGGGACCTGGGACGGCCGAAACCCCCCGACTCCGGGGGAGCCTTGACGGCTCCAAGGCAGCCCAGAAGGGGCCCCGAACCCCCCCAGAGGCCCCCAAGCTGGCCCAAGAGGCTCCCATCGCGCCCCATGATTGTCTGGAATATGGCTGAAGAGCGCACTGCGATGGCCTCCAGACGGCGCACGAGCGCTCGAAGACAGCCCCAGACTAGTCCTAGACCGCCACAAAGGCCCTCAAGACGGAGGACACCGAGAAGGCCCCCCAAGGGAAACGCATAGCTCAGGCATGCTCGTTTTTCAGTCCTAACAGCGGCCACGACGGCCCCAACGGCCCCCCAAATCGGCCCCAGACAGCCCAAGAGGCCCCCAAGAGGGCCCCAAGACGGCCTGAAGAGAGCTTCAAAGAGCTCCAAGACGGCCCAAGAGAGTCCCCAGGGGGCCCCTCCGTAGCCATTTTGGCTCAAGCCAGTGGCTCAAGTTTTGCCCAAGACATTGTGGCAAGTCTTCAGGCATTTGGAACGCGGGGTTTTGCGCGTGTTGCCGACAAGCCCCTGTTGCCTCACCGTTACCGACATGAACGTCGCGGTGTTTGCAGCAGCGTTCGCCATCCTGCTCGTCGGCCGCGGCGGCGTCGCCGCCGACGGCATGACCGAAACCTTGGAGGAGCGCCGCCTGGTGGAGGACGACTCGCACAACTGCGACGACGCCACGAGCGAGGCCGACGAAGTGGGGCTGCTCCAGTCACGGGCGCTGAGCCCCGGCGGGACGCAGACCGCAGACAACAGCAAGGACGAAGCGCAGGATCTACCGATCGATATCAAGAAGCTCAACTCTACAATTCATCACGGGCGTGAACATCCTGGCGACACGTATCTCTTTTCCTCCTATGATTGCGATAACCCGTGCCCAACAAACACTAAGTGCTGCTATCGGGCTGGAATATACGCCACTTGCTGCGTTGATGATCAGATTGCCCCAGGATACCCATGCCTGTGGGGGGCTTTCAACAGGTGCACGATGGGATATTGTTGTTCTGCCACGGGGGGGGGAACGATGTCGTCCGTGCTAGATCGTTTGTCCTCCGCTCTGTCCGCTCGGTTTAACGTCCTACCCGTTCGCATGGCAACTTGCACGCTTGCTTTCAAGTCGTGCCCGCCGGGCCTGTCCGCCCGACGCGACCCCCAGCGAAGCGAGATGGGCACCGTGGGGTGGAGGAGACGAGCCTTGAAAAGAACGGGGAGGAGGAGGTGGAGAACGGGGTGAACCGGCGGTGAGGAGCTGGGTTATGAGGTAGGGGAGGTGGAGGAGGAGATCAGGCTAGCCGCGTTATTCGGCAGGAGTCGTTGTGGCATTTGTTGGTTGAGGCTGTGGTTGGGTCTTGGAGAGATCCTTCCCCTCCCAGAATGCTCCAGCAGCCTGGTGCGCATTTTGCATTCCGCCAGCTGAAAGCTGCCGCTCCTTTGGGAAGAGGCGTCGCGCGCCACAGGGCTGCGGTTGTGTGGCGCGCGGTGCTGGCTGCTCGCCCGGCTTCTCTCAGTTTTCTCTCTCTCTCTCTCTCTCTCTCTCTCTCTCTCTCTCTCTCTCTCTCTCTCTCTCTCTCTCTCTCTCTCTCTCTCTCTCTCTCTCTCTCTCTCTCTCTCTCTCTCTCTCTCCTCTCTCTCTCTCTCTCTCTCTCTCTCTCCTCTCTCTCTCTCTCTCTCTCTCTCTCTCTCTCTCTCTCTCTCTCTCTCTCTCTCTCTCTCTCTCTCTCTCTCTCTCTCTCTCTCTCTCTCTCTCTCGTTTCTCTCTCTCTCTTTCTGTCTCGATTTCTCGCAGCGCACCTCTCTCGTTTACCCTTGTCTATCTGGCCGCTTCTCTTGCATGATCCATCGATTCGTTCGTTGCTGCAGCACGTCGGCGCGAAAGGGGCGCTCTCGGGAGGGGATGGACCAGCGCTTTGCCGGACATACAACAAAAAAAACAACCCCCCCCCCAAAAAAAAAAAAAAAGAGTCCCCAGGGGGCCCGAGGGGTCCCTACGGAGTCAGAGGGGACCCCAAGAGGGCCCCCCAGAGGCCCCCAAGATGGCCCAAGAGGCTCCCATCGCGCCCCATGATTGTCTGGAATATGGCTGAAGGGCGCACTGCGATGGCCTCCAGACGGCGCACGAGCGCTCTGAGACGGCCCAAGACTAGTCCTAGACCGCCACGAAGGCCCTCAAGACGGCCCAATAGGCCATCGAGACGGTCCCCCAAGGGCTAAAATCAAGCATTTCCTATGCATAGCTCCGGCAAGTAAGTTTTTTCAGTCCTAACAGCGGCCACGACGGCCCCAAAGGCCCCCCAATCGGCCCCAGACGGCCCAAGAGGCCCCCAAGAGGGCCCCAAGACGGTCTGAAGAGAGCTTCAAGCAGCACAAAATAGCTCCAAGACGGCCTAAGAGAGTCCCCAGGGGGCCCGAGGGGGCCACCAGAGGACCCCTACATGGTCGGAGAGGACCCCAAGAGGGCCGCAAGACGGGCTCAGCTACCCATGACGGGCCAAGAGGGACCTGGGACGGCCGAAGCGGGCCTCCAGACGGGCCAAAAAAAAGCCGACGGGACTCCCAAGGAAGGCCCGGAGAGGTTCCAGAGACTTCCACAATGCTTCCAAAAGGCTCACGCGAGGCGTCCTTGTAGGCCACCATGAGCGTCTGGAAGGTTTCATGTCTACGTCCTGCAAGATCCAGTTCAGGGGTTCCCCGAGGCTCCACAGAACATCCTGCGGGGCGCCGGGAAGAAACCAAAACACCCCGAATTCGCTTGGTCGAATTTGAAGACCATCTTGGCCGTCTTTGGGCCATCTTGGAGCCATCTGGAGCAGGAAAAACCTTGCAACGGGGTCGGACGCAGCCTTCTGGGTGGCCGGCGGCATGGACCGAAGCCCCAGGGGGGAGCTTTTCTGGAAAAGAACCAAAACCAAGCCGTAGGATCTAGCACGCCAGGCACCCCCGTGATAAATCAACAGGGGCTGACGGATCGAGTGGCCTTCGGCCCATCCCGTCACCGTGTTTGGGTTGTAGATCAGACGCCTCTGGGATGCCTGTGGAGATCTCTTGGGAGGCCTCTCTGAGGCACCCCGATGGATCCCAGCTGAGCCCCAATCATCCTTTGCGAAGAATTCGTAAAGGTCCCCAAAGGCCGCCTCCGCCCTTGATGTCCCAAGCTCCGCTGAAAAGAACATGATCGAGCGTTGCTCATTCCGTAGCCATTTTGGCTCAAGACATTGTGGCAAGTCTTCAGGCGTTTGAAACGTGTGATTTGTGCCCATTGCCCAAGCCGCTCTTACTCCGCCGTTGCCGCAATGAACGTTGCGGTGCTTGCAGGAGCGTTCGCCATCCTGCTTGTCGGCCGCGGCTGCGTCGCCGCCGACGACCTAGCCGAGACTTTGGAGGAGCGCCGCCTGATGGAGGACGACTCGCGCAACTGCGACGCCACGAACGAGGCCGACGGCGTGGGGCTGCTCCAGTCACGGGCGCCAGGCCCAGGCGAACCGCAAATCGCGAACATTCGGAAGAACGAGACGCAGGACCACAAACAATATGAGGAGGCGAGAGTGGAGGATGTGTTGATCGATGCCCAGAACTTCAACTCTGGCGGCGTGCATCACCAGATCCATCCTTCTTGCGATCGTTGCCCTGAAGCACACGCATGCTGCTGCACATTTTGGTTCACCTACACTTGCTGTATACAGCCAGATATTTGGGGTCCATTCATTATCCCCGGATATCCATGCCCCAAAGTGGATTTCAACACGTGCACGAGGGGGTATTGTTGTGTAAACGGGAGGTGCAGCCCGTGCTAGTTCAGTTGTCCTCCTGTCTGCCCCGCTCGGTTTAACGTCCTGCCCGTTAGTCTGATAACCTCTTATGTCGGCAAAGGTAATACCAGAAAACACACGCCACAAGTGCGGACACAAATTGGGCAAGGATCAGGCGTTGCACAAGGCAGTCTACGGAGTTCAGTGCTTCGTCATTCCCCAGGGCCACTGCCAGGCGGGACCGCCAGCCTATGGTGTAAATGATGTTCGCTTGCTCA